GTTACACATAAACAGTAACTTTCTTTATTCGTGTGTGTTTTTTTTGTGCGTGTTTTGGATTTTAACGTAGCTTCATTCAGATCGCTACGATATCAACAGTGTGATAGTTTTCAGTGATGTCTAGCACTGGGGCATCATTCGGCAGACATGTAGCATTATGTCCCTCCCAGTCACATTATCCTGACACCAGGCTGACCAGTCCTAACACTAACCTCTTAATGATGTGCACCAATTAAGTTAGCTGCTAGTCCAATTTTTATGTCTTTGGTATGACTCGGCCGGGGTTGTAACCCACGACCTCTCACATTCGAGGCTGACGCTCTAACCACTATTCGTGCATGTTTACATCAGAACTCCATGGTATTGAAGAAAGCAAAAATGCTTAGTCATTACTGTACTACTTGGAACTGCCAAATAGCTCTTCACAGATCAGAAATTGAGCTTGGCTGATATAATACAAAATCTGAATAATGTAGATCATAAGCAATTTGGCGCGACACTTTATGCCATTGAGATGAGATATGGCAAAGATTTACAATCTGTACTGGAAGAAAATATACCTAATAGTCTGCACGATTTAATATAGATTCATTTATTACCGAGTTACTTCTGTTGTAAGAGCCAATCAACTTGTCAAATTTACCGTGTTTATCATTTGTAAGCCATATCTTACGATCTTCGATAACATTAACGACTTATCGCTTCTTAAGCCCTTATCAGGGGCAAAATCAAACTCAGTCATGAAGACAGACCCGTTGAACTTTGCTATGAACATTAACTGATCCATATATAGTTTGGTTCAACGTCTCTAATGCTGAAATAAGACGACATTTGTTTGTGGGAAAATCTAGCTAGCGTGCTGGATTCATGTGCTAGGTTACCAGGTTCGATTGCTATGCCTGGCCAGATGAGCTACCGTATTGCCACACATAACAAAGTCGCTTGGTAAGCACTTTTATAAACAGAATGATTCAAGCCAAACGAAAATGTTGTTATACATACCTGATGCTCACCATTACGTTTGCAACCATTTATGATCTCTCTCTCTCTCTCTCTCTCTCTCTCTCTCTCTCTCTCTCTCTCTCTCTCTCTCTCTCTCTCTCTCTCTCTCTCTCTCTCTCTCTCTCTCTCCAAATGCACAAACCAGATGAAAAATCATTTGGAAATATGACTAATCTGCAAAATGTCTAGTTTCCGTCTGCTTTAGGCTGGTTCAATCTTGTTTTATTGAATGCCGTCTTCAAGGCACTGCTAGACAAAATTTGTCATTGATCCAGACGGTCGCACTACCTGTGGGCCATGCTGAAGACTTCTTCAAAGAAAAAAACAACATGAATAATGCAAGATGAATAAGAAGTACAATTTTCAGGGTTTTTTTTCTACTTCGTGCTTGTCACATTTGTTGGCTGTCGCTTCTTCATGACTGCAAACTTTATTGTTCTCCACTTTGGAGAACATCGCCAATTAAATATAATTATTAAGTATCATTTTATTATCGTCAAGGATTTAGATTTTTGAAATTAAATTTTGTTTATTAATTTACAAAAACGCTCTTAAAAATATTATGTCTAAAAGCCTTTTCTTTTTGGTTATAGACCACTTATTATCGCGATACATCTTATTGGCGATTTAAAACCTTTTTATTTAATGGAAGGGTCAGGAAAAATTCCGTGTCAACGCCAATTACATTTTCGGACCCTGCTTACTTCTGTCAGTGACTTAAAGAAAAGAATCCAGTACATTTAGTTCCTGTATTTTCTTTGTATTAGTAGTGTTTTTGTCAGTAAACCCACAATGCCATCGATACTGGTAATTATTATATAGGGATGTCGTTCATACTGTAGTTATGGTCATTCCTTGAGATGTTGGAGGTTTTTCTCTATCTCTTTTGCCTTAGATTCAAAGGTGTTATTGCAGGATTTAATATATTAAATATTGTCAAATTAATTCAAATATTTTTGTTCAGAAAAAAGTCGATCAAGTATGTTCTACTTGTGTTAGTGGAGACTGTATATTTTTAATGGAAGAAACCATTAAATAAATAAAAACATTACGTGCCTTGTAGCATTCTTCGGGCAGGTGAGATTGACTTCAAAGAACTTAGGCTGTTTCAAGACAACCTCCTTCATCTTGCATATTGTTTGTCAGAAAAACATAAAACTACCAGGTCTGTACGGATATATTAATGTATTGGCTATGACTGGGCTCAGTCGTCCCATTCTGTATGGCAATTTAGCTTTGACCACAGGAGTCTGCAGGAAGTAGCCCATTTGTACCACGGACTAAATAACGTCATGAATGAAACCAATTTTACAAGATAAAATGTTTAACTTGTTTTTCTTTTTAATTTCAGATTCCATCATTTAATATTTTTTGTATAAATTTCCGGAACAGAAATATGTAAAGTTTTGATAGTACAAATACCGGTTGATGACGTCATTACATTCAAATATTAGAGCCTAGTATTAAAAGAGAACAGATTCTGCGCAGTGTTCGATAAGATTATTAGACACCTAACGCATAATTACTGTATGGTAGAAACTAGTAGAAATTGCATATTTCTTGGCATAGTTAATTTTTCCAGGGTTTGTGACCTTAATGGTGAAAATAGATTCTATTTTAAGCATCACATAAAAGTAACTTTTGAGGATATTTCATTCCTCAGCGTGGTCTGTAATTTTGGACAATGGCGGAAAAAAAAATGATTGATCATCCCTGCTTGGAACAGTTACAACGTATACAGATTGTGAAGGTCAGTTGGGCTATACAAATTTGAATAATGTAGATCTACGATAAAGAACGATTCTATCTGCCATTGTTACAGTTGCAGGCTATTACGATAAACGTACAATATGCAAACAGTATAGAAACAAAGTTTTTATTTTCCAACAGCCGGAAAGATTAAAGTGTTATCTAATCGCTGAAAATATTCCCAAGCAAAGGCAAAAAACCCTTTAAAATTTATCGTGTCAATAAACTGCACATCTTTTCTTGAAATCTTTAAAAACATCAACGACTTCCTCGCCCCTAAATGCTCCGACAAGAACAATATCGAGGTTTGTATCTAACCCCAGCAGTCTTTCGTACAGAAATCACGCTAAACTTTACAACGGAAATTCCTATCAGTGCATTTATTTGTCTTTCGTTTGAAAGCATCCAAAATAGAAAGAAAAGACGTGTGTCTTTTCCACAAAAGGATCTATTACAATTTCTTCCGAATAGAATTTTTCGTAATTATGCACTGGATGGTAATGAAATTTTACAGTGATCTGCTTTGAAGAAAGGCGCAGATTGTCAAATGCATTAGCTTAGCAGAGCATAAATTATTGTATGTTTTATTCAATTTGCTAGCGATTCAGGCGCGTACTTCCGAAAATGCGCGTGGAGTTTAAATTAGCCATATTTATGTATTATGTATTATCAATGGATTTTTAATCTTTTAATCCACTTTACCTCAGTAGAACTGTTCAATAGTTGTGGCCATTCTACAATCACCTGAAGGAAAAATGTGTGTGTGTGTTCTTCCAAAAATAAAATAACCCAGTTTTACACGTTATCAAATGTTGAGCTCTCGTATGCAGTCTTTAAGTTCTGTAATCATTTGTCAGATAGTCAACAGTATGATGGGGCTGACTTGATTAACTCCTCATTTAGCATTTCATGGCAAACTATCTGTGTCACATGTCAAGACTTCTTCGACTGGTTTTTAATTCGTTTCAACCTGATTCTACTGCAAACTATCGAGATTCTGGTCTCGCATTCAAGAAAAAAGTCTCATCAGGGAGTAATCATTCTGTTTGAGAAAAACTAAAATTTGATCGGTGCATCTCATCTATGTTTTAAAACAGGCGTGTTATTCAAGCCAGTTATGTAGCTTATTATATCGAAATTTGACTTTGATTATATATCCCCTTCGGGATTATTTTTATGTTAAGTTTTTATTTGTGCTTAAGTGCTTTTTTTAGTAATTAAAATATTTCATTACCATCTATATCCACATAGATCTGACAGTTCAAACTCGTACAAAGGTCGCTTTTATTATAGTATAGGTACGACACTGAAAACTGCAGCGTTAGGTACATTAGCTAAATAAAACTTTGTCCTAATTTCAGGCAGACAACTTGCTGTTTGTTCAACCCTGTGTATGGATTCTTTTAGCAACACCACGTTTAGAGCTGATAACTCCATTTACGTAAATACCCGTCACGTTTTTTGGAGTGTTAAAAGATTAGTCCCAATGCGATGATCTCTGCCCACCTTGGTATAACTAATGATCAATTACCGTTAATACTGTGTAGAATAATACCATATAAATTATAAATTATAAATTAAAAATTAATTGCTCCATTTATCATAGGTGTATGAAACTATCTGATGCATTAGATGTCCCCAGGCGATATAGACTATTTATTTTAGAAAATTGTATTCAATCTCGTGTCAAGAAATGTTGTTGAATTCAGTTGAGGGAAATTACCTAATGTTGGTGGCATATTGATGGAGCCGACGTAAACTTAAAATAAGCAAGTGCAGTATCGTATTACACATAAGACATTCCTGTGTTTCACACTTTTAAAATACGGGTGAAAATCTGTAACTTTTCTTCTGGACGTGCTGTATCATTTTGCTTTATTTTTTAGCTTCTTTTAATTATTCATAACTTTTATTCCATACAACCATCAACTACATGCGATGTTTATTCCGTTATTCTGTAATATGTATGCCTATATACAGGTGTATTTACGTTCCATGTAAATGAATATGTGTTTGATTTAGATTTTTAACGTAGCTTTAACAATTTTTCAGTCATATGGCTACAATGTCTGCAGTGTGACAGTTTATAATGATGTATAGCACTGAGGCATCATGCTGCAGACATGTAGCATGATGTCCCACAAAGTCACATTATCCTGACACCAGGCCGACCAGTCCTACCACTAACCTCTTAATGCTTAGCGCCAAGCGAGGCATCTGTAAGTACCATTTTTTAAAAGTCTTTGGAATGACCCGACCGGGGTTTGAACCCGCGACCTCCCGCATCTGCGGCAGACGCTCTAACCACTTGGCCACCGCAGCGGTGTATGTATGTATGCATGTATGTATGTATGTATGTATGTATGTATGTATGTATGTATGTATGTATGTATGTATGTATGTATGTATGTATGTATGTATGTATGTATGTATGTATGTATGTATGTATGTATGTATGTATGTATGTATTGTTCTGGTGTCTATTAGATGGTTATCGACGTCTAGACGATAAGAGTCCACGATACCTTAGCACGGATCTAGAGAAAATTTAAAGGAAATTAATGTATGGAATTCATGGAAATCTGAGCAGAGATATGGAATAGATCAACACGAAACCCATGTATTTAGAATATAATTAACTCGATACAGCAAAATAAATTGTACAGCAGAAATTGCAGGATGTACCTATACCAAAAAAGCAAAAAGAACGAAAATAATTAACTCAAAGTTCTTAAATGCAGTTAACAGTTCCGTTTCATATTGATAGGAAAAATTTCAACAATTTATCGAGTGAGTGCTTAATTGTCCGGCATGCCTTCATAACCTGATAACTGGATGCCCTCCAAAGAAAACATAGCTTGTCGGCAGGGGTCGTCTTGAACTAGAAAACCCTCCGATTCCCGCTGGCCACTAAAGCCTATCTCCTAGCTAGTCGTCCAGCCTCTCAAGGGATGTTTAGTCACTTGTATTAGGAATGTAATGTCTTGTATTAGGCGTGGTTTCTCATACTTTGTCGTGGAATCTATTGTATTAGGCATGTACTCACATACTTTGTCGTGGAATCTCTTGTATTAGGCGTGGGCTCTCATACTTTGTCGTGGAATCCCTTGTATTATGCGTGGACTCTCATACTTTGTCGTGAAATCTCTTGTATTAGGCGTGGGCTCTCATACTTTGTCGTGGAATCCCTTGTATTATGCGTGGACTCTCATACTTTGTCGTGGAATCCCTTGTATTAGACGTGGGCTGTCATACTTTGTGGTGGAATCCCTTGTATTATTCCTGGACTCATTCTTTGTCGTGGAATCCCTTGTTTTAGTGGTGGAATCAATTTTCGTGATAAAATAAAATAAATGCGGCTTAAGTTCCTGTTCATAACCAACTTTATGAAGTGAACAAACATTCACCCCTCCGGTACAATCAGAGGGCAATGTATGACGTTTCACATAAGGCACGTAACTGCTAATTGGCTTCAGGTTATAACCTTGCATCCAATACAAGCTATGCCGTATTTGTTTACATACACTCGTTTCTCTCTATCCATCGACAATTAGCACAGTGTAGAAAAATTAATGTAATTATTCAATAGAACTGGCAACCCTTGCTAATCGATCCATAGCATTGTCTACTCTTGTTCAAAGACGCAGTGTGAAATGTTGATCACAATATTGAACTAGATTGTCGACACATGCGCACATAATTCTGCACATCTTATTTAACTCTCTCTCTCTCTCTCTCTCTCTCTCTCTCTCTCTCTCTCTCTCTCTCTCTCTCTCTCTCTCTCTCTCTCTCTCTCTCTCTCTCTCTCTCTCCTTCTTTGCTGATAATACACTATTGCTACCTAACCATTCATCGGCAGAAAACATCCTAAAACATAATAATGATCAATTCTTAGTATACATGGTTCATATATCATTTAAGACAAATAAATTCAAACGCTTATCTTAAGACTCGTATTAAAAAAATTATGTATGATATTAACACAGCACCTCTTTGTTCCAGGTTCGCTCATTTCTTCCCTTTAGCAGAACCGTCTCCTTACATCTTTGATTGCGTTTCTCTTAGAGACTCTCATACGTCCCGTATGAGGGTTTTGCTCACACTCGGAGTCAAGACCGTTCGCCTTGAGCAAACACTGTTATGTTAAAAGCAGATTTCGCGTGGGAAACACAGTATCAACTACCAAGTGACTTCTCATGTTTATATACTGCCATTATTAACACACACCTCTCAAAGGTTTCGAAAATTTTACATTTTCCCGCTTTCCTTCCTATACAGCAAAGTTTTTAATTATCACAACTATTTCACCAAGTACAAACGCTGTGTCTGCAACATTTAAACCATTGGCCATTTAGCCAATCAAAGGCTAATCTTCATCTCTTCCAATTTCAACTGACAATTATCAAACAATACCTCATTCATATTCAAATCTGTTTCCCAATGCACTTAAATGCTATCATCTTTAAATATGCCATGGTTTTAATCCGGTACAAAATCAATCACTTGTACTTAAAATCGCTATTTGTTACACTCTGTTTAGGTAGTGATAAAATTATACTGTGCCACATTAAATTTTCTTCGCCGGATTATTTGCTGTTTTTGTTTTAATTCACTTATTCGAATGTTTTGAACTAAAATTTGAAAAGAAGATAAATTTCATCTGGTAAAAAACACAGCTAGAACATTATTATAGATTAAATGTATAATGAAAATAAACCGAAATAACCAATATGGGGTTCAGGAAAGACAATCCTGTCTATTACAGATAATGATATCTACTTCTCTTCCCAATCTGGTTTTAGGAAGGGACACTTCACCGAGTCGGGTCTTCTTCAAACAAGGATTCTGTTTTCTGTTTTTAATAAATTAAAGAAATGGATGATGGTGGCAATGGCAGCCTTTGATCTAAAGAGATCATTTAACAATATATGTCGTTCCTTTCTTTTGCTAAAACAATTTCTGAAAAAATGATACTGATTTTCTAGAGTTTTGTGAGCATATATCCAACCAAATGCAACACGTTGTAATTGAATAGTAACCTTTTGAACTCCAATTTAATTGATAAAGATATTTCATATAGAATCATTCTGTTCCCTATTTTGTTTGTTATTTGTAATCTTCTGATTTACACTGTAGAAGCTGATACAACAGTATGCTGATAATACCTGTTTACTAAGCTGACAAAAGTTTGACCAAATAAAACCAGTTTCCCAGATTAGTCCTATCAACGTCTGGTTGAATAAATGTCAAGAAACAAAATCTCCGCATTGACAAGGTCAATTACTACAATTTACCACAAAAAAGAACCAATCTTTATGATTTTAACCAATCTCTTAAACTTAACACTTTGATAAAAAGTATACATATTGTTAGCTATGGTCACACTTCTAGTTTTTTTATTGGTATGTTTGATATGTCAGTTGTCTTGTTATCTTCTTGTCAGTTTATTTATATCTTCTTCCGTAAATATGTGCAATATAATGTCTCAGTATTCATGTCACTTTTATTAGGTTAACTGCCGTACCTATCTTCCCCCATACGTTTAGTAAGTGTGTCTCCTTCTTATATGTCTTGTATTGCATGTAGTTTTGTCATCCGTATGTTTCATCCTTATGTGTACATATTTCATGAATTTTTGAAAAACAACTGTTTCACGACTGACAAAGTATCCAATAAAGAGTCCCAAAATCTCGAATCTTAAAAATTAAAAGTATTGAAGGATCACACAAATTTGTTTTAAAATTCTCGTTATTTGTAAAAGCAAGGGGGAAATATTTCGTCATATGTTTGGAAGAAATATATTTTCGTGTCTTGCACAAGGCATGCTATCCAATGTTATATAAAGGTACTAGCATGAAAAGTTTTGCACGCATAGTTAATAAATTTGCTGGTAATACACTTTCAGCAACAAAAAAAATGTTATGTTAAGCATGGTTTCTGTTAAATGGCGTGTCAACATACTATATAATATTCAGATGTGGAATATGGTATGTTGTAGATACAAAGACATTATTGACTTTAAACTATTAACCATAATTTCCGAACTAACACATACTGACCCTAGTTAATCAATTATTAAAAATAAATTCCAACATGCCTCTCCATTTAGGTCTGAACATTGATATTTTAATGTATCGACGAAGCTCGTCGCTTGGAAGAAAATATGTATTGTTCCGTTTAATGATTCAACACCCCGTCTTTGAAGGTATTTGCTTGAATGCCATTTTCATGCAAGATAAAATATATTTGATGTCACAGTACATTATTGGAATGCACCATATATATATATATATATATATATATATATATATATATATATATATATATATATATATATATATATATATATATGTGTGTGTGTGTGTGTGTGTGTGTGTGTGTGTGTGTGTGTGTATGGTAGGTTTAATTTAAAGGACTTTAAGCGGCCATATATGGTAATGATAAAAACAAATCCTATATTGTTTACGCATCTAGTCCTGATTATCAGACTTACCCATAGGAGTTGGGTATGTATCAACATTGTTAAGACAAAAATTGATACTGTAAATGAACCACGCCTTTGTCTCTGTAGTTTTAATAAACTATCGCCATGATGTAAAGAATTGTACTAAATTGCCCCCAGGCAGAAGAAATTGATGACAATCGCATTCTTCGTGAAGAAGTAGAAATCGCAGTTAGGTTACTAAAGAAAGGAAAGTCAGCCGGTATTGACATCATGCCAGAAAAGCTCATTCAAGCAGGAGGAGAAAAAATATTCACAATACAAACAACAATCTGCAACAATATATGGCAGTCAGAAGAATGGCACACCACATGGACTCATTCCTTGGTCATCGTGCTACTCAAGAAAGCAAATCTACAGCTATGACAAAACTACAGAACCACCAGTTTGATCAGTCATCGGAGCAAGGTCATGATGAAGAAAATTTTCAACAGACTAAAGCCTCAAACAGAGAATATAATTGCTGAAGAGCAGGCAGGATTCCAAGTAAGAAGTAGCACCACAGAACAAATCTTCAATCTCAGACTCCTTTGTGGGAAATACCTTCAACAGCAGCAGAATCTATACCAGGTCTATGACAGGGTATGTTATGCAGCCTTATGGGCAACTCTGAGGAAGTACAGTTTCAATTCAAATCTGGTGCAGGTTGCTGAACACCTTTATGCCAAAGCCACCAGTGCTGTTCTCATCAATGGCACCAGAGCATATTGGTTTCGAACAACAGTTGGAGTCAGACAAGGATGTATACTGTCACCTACATTCTTCGACATTTTCCTGGAAAGGATCATGGAGGATGCCTTGCATGACCACAAGGGTACTG